CACAAAACCAACCCGGCTAAAACGTTGTCAGATTAATAATCTAGTTAAGATTACTTTTAAAAATTGTATTTATATAGATTTAACTTAAACCGGTAAAACCCCGTGAATTTGTGGTTATCCCAACTTCAATATAAATAATTTCTATTCGGTATGTATCGTTTCCTTATCTTCATCTATGTCAATTTTGTTTTATCTTCCTCATGCTTTCGGTGAGAAATATATGTAATTACCAACTTACTTTAACTTCTAAGAGGATTCGATTTGTTAATTATACTAGTGAATATCCGCGCATATGCGCGGGTTTTGTCATAAATATTTTTTGCTTTTTTTTTTACTTAAAACATTTGTCACATATTTTAAATATTTATGTGATCTTTATTTTGTTTTATAGCATTTAAGTTTTGAAAAAATAAGGACACATTGTTTATTTAGAGTGGTCTCATTAACTTTTCTATGACGAAGATATATAGTAATTATAACATGATTTTTAACATGGCTTTGTTCCCAAAATAACATGTTTAACAAAACAATAGAGTTATATTTTGCAAAAGGATCTTCAAAATAGAGGAATCTTGTTAGTTTTGGGCAATTAATTTGTTTGGGGTTAAATCGTTTTCTTTCAATCCTAGTTTTGGCTTTCGACTCCTATATGTTTTCCTTTCATAGGGCTTTGCCTATCTCTTTTGAGCTTAGTTTCCAGGAAATTCGTGTTATTCTGTTGGCGTTTCGCGTTTGTCAGATCACAACATGTATTCCTCTATGGGTTTTATCACAAAAATTCTAGATGAACAAAAAAATTGTTTCCAATTTAATTATACTAGACCAATACCCGCACATACGCGCGAGTTTTGTTTGATATATAATTTTTGGTCACATGGATAGAGATTCGTCTAGAAAAGAAAAACAATAAGCGGAATCTCATTAGAAATAACTCCAAACAATTTTTAAAAAAATTACAAAAAGCGAGAGAAAAACTAAATAAACAAATAAGAACAAAGAAATCAAAACTGTTCGAACACAATAATTAAAATCATCATTCATGAACAGCTTAGACGTGAGGAAGGTGTTTATGAAATTACGAATATAAGAAAATAAGGTACAATAAGGTACAATCGATTAGACGAATATAAGAACAATCAGGAACCAAATAGAAAAAAATATCTTATACACATACAAGAGAGAAACCATACCTTATGGATCGAAGTTCTAATCCTAAAAACCTGGAAAATAGTTTAACAAATTACTTACTATATAAAAAACAGACACCAAAAGAAATATAAACAAAACATAAGATTATAAAAACTAAAGAACATATATACAAATTAGAAGAAAAAATTAGAGAACGCCGAAAAACTAAAGAACATACAAATAAGTTCAGAAAAAAACAAAAAAGAACATACAAATAAGAAAATAAAAAGCAGAACATGGAACTATGAAAAAAAAGAAGGTGCTGATTTGTTTGCATGAGGAGGGTATACGAAGGTATTTATAAGAATCAAAGAAAGAACCATAGGAAGAAAACAATATTTTATCAGAAGAAGATGACAAAGATCAATATTTCTTATAGAATTAGGGTTACACAAATAAAAATTGCAAATAGAAGAAAAGAAATATATATAGAAGGTTAGGGTTTTCGAGTAAATGAAAGTTAAAAATATTTTATATAGATAAATATGGAAGATTTACATAAATTTGAGTATATTACAAAATAAAGTATATTCTATGAATCTTAATAGACTAAATACGAAATATACACTAAAAATTAAAAATAAATTTTTTTTCTTCTTAAAATCGCTCTCATTGCGACACATTCTCTTTTATAAGTATAGAAGCAAAGTGACTTCTCTTTTATAATTATAGATAGATTTAAAAAAAACTCTCTTAGGCATTTTTTTCGAGGTTTGCTCCAAATAGAAAGAGTGTAACTTTTTCCAACCTTCAACAACTTTTCTTTACCAAAAGTAGGAGTTTCTTCACCCATCTACAACTCTTTGACCAGTATACACCGTGGTTCCACCCCCGACAACATGTCGGAGGGTCCATCCAGCTCCGGTAAGGTATCCCTGACCCTTTCTGATAACTCCCTGCAGTAGTTGGAACCATAAAGATCTATAGAAACTAGCTGTAGTGAAGTAAATGTTTTCAAAACTTTCAAAAATATTCTGGAACCTAGCTCTCCTATTGAATCTCTTTTCACAGATGGAGTAAGGATAAGAAATCTACTAGCAGCTTCCTACATACTGCTGGAATCTACAACTCTCTCATCAAGGGTGCAGTAAAGTTCAAAACTACTATAACCTAGCCTTACCCCCCAAAAGATAGTCCCTAACAATTCTACCTGACGTACCCAAAAATCTTATCATTATGAAAAAAGACTTTCCTCTGCAGAGAAAGGGAAAGGCTTGAAATATGAAGAAGATCCTCCTAGAGCTTCTAGGGTGAAAGTCCCTCAGTTTGATCCCTCTGAGCTAATCCACAATCACAAGCTTATGCTGGTGGGGCGTATTACTAACCCAAAAATCCAGAAGATGTGGGCTCTACTCCCTTTCCTAGCTGACCATTGGAAGGTTTCCTCTAGACCAGTGGGAGCAGATCTGGATCAAGGAAGATTCCAATACCAGTTTGCTTCAGAAGAAGATCTCCAGAAGGTATTGGATAATAGACCCTATCATTTTGCTCACTGGATGATCATCCTACAAAGGTGGGAACCAACGGTGGCAACATCCTTCCCATCCCAAATTCCTTTCTGGATACAAGTCCAATGAGTCCCAAGCCACCTATGGTCCAAAGCCTGAGCGTAGTGTCAAACATAGGTCACTTTGAGACCTCTGAAATCACCACTACCTTAGCCAGAATAAGGGTTACCATCGATGGACTTAAACCTCTGATAACTACTTCCACTATGGAGTTCTATAATGGAGATGAAGTGGAAGTACAATTGGTCTACGAAAAAGTGGAAAAACATTGCAGCGTGTGTTTTATGCTGAACCATGACTTGAAAGACTGCTCTGAAACAACAAAAGATGCCCCACTCTTGAAGTCTGGTCCATCCCAAGTTACAGATCCTCACCAAC